GCTCAGCAGAAGCAAATGCTTCTGCAGCTCTGACCAGGATTTTTTAGCTAGTTTTGAGAAAAATTGCATTAAAAACTCTGTCTGGAGGCTCTTGACAGAGTCTGCCCTGGGAATTTGTTGGTAAAAGCTTGTGTGAGGGCATCTGTGAATGCCAGTCTTTGGCGTTCAGATTCTTGGTATGAGTCCTAGTAATTTAAAAATGCAAAAACCTGCTGCAGTGGTCGTCTAGGGAATGAGTGTATGGGTGCAGGAGCTGCCATCCACACCATTACTGGGTCATACAGCAATTGTTTGCCCCTGGTGTCTGGGGAATTAACAAAATCTGCTTAGTGTGCAGGTTATAGCCTCTGCTTCCTCATTGAGATGCCTATGGATTCTTTCCCTGCATCTTCTCAGCTGAGTATTTCCCTCCTTACAGGATGCAAAGGTCTCTGTGCTACATTCCTTGCCAAGGGAGAGTAAATACTCCCTCAGACCTCTTGCCTCCCCCTGCCCTGTCCATCTGAGCAGCGTGTCCAACTGCACAATCAGCACTGAGCATCTGCTCTGTGGTCTCCTTCTCTGTGCTAGCGTTTGCTACTTCAGCTGCATTGCCTGGGCCAGGTACTTGGCAGCATGCAATGTCTTGAATGTGAAGCTGTAAGAGGCTCTTCTCACTGCAGTGGCTGTTCGTGGCGGGCCTGGCCCCAAGAGCAAGGGGGGCAGAGCCGTGGTGAGGCATGGGACCCCTTTGCCGGCGTGTGTGTGTGTCCTGCAGTGCCAGTGCAGCAAGGAGGGGGCACTGCAAACCTGATGCCATCTGTCTTTGGCTGCATTTCTCAGTTGCTTGGACTGCCCAGGGTATCAATCCAAGCATTGCAGGCTATTTTAACATGCAGCCAGGGAGCTGAAGGCACATACAGGCCTCTCAGCTGAGCAGTGCTGTTGCAAACTAGCCAGAGCTGGTCTTTATATGGATTAGAGGTCTTTGCGGATGACCCTGGTATTCAGGGCATAATTTTGAGGACTTTGTCGTGGGGGTGGGGGTTGTCATCTCTGAGGCCATCCTTGGCCCCCGAGGGCACAGCTTTGTGCTGGAGCAGGATTGTCTTCTTGAAGAAGATTCTAGCCCTGACCACATGTGGTTATGGAAGGTCCTGGGTAATTTCAAGAAGTCAGTTGTTAGGCTGCAGCTCAGACATCAAGGTCTTCTCAGACCAGGATATTCCTTCTCAAATCCCTTTGAGCTGCCTCAGGTGCGAATAGGGTAACTTTTACCTTCCTGCTCTGTACTAGTGTCCAGTGGGTGGTTCAACCTCAAATAATTAATTGCAATCTTAATAATACTGTGGTAATTAATAGCATTTTTTTGCAGTTATTGCAATTAACTACTGCAGTAGAGGAGCCTTGCTATGGTAGGTGCTGTACAAAACCCTGCTGTCACAGGTTGCTTGGAAGTCAATCGCTGCATTGCAGTGGTGGGAGCAGCTAAACTGCTTTTTGCTGCCCTGTGAGGGTATGGAGGAAAATGCTCAGGGAGAAAGGACAGTGAGCTGACTGCTTTGCTAATGACAAATGGAGATTATTTCTAAAGCTGAGGATTGGAGAACCAGTATGCCCTCCTCATAAAAGGGACGAGAAGTCAAAGTATTAGACAGGCAGGTGTGGAAACCTAATGGTGAGACTCGGTTGGACCAGGGATTGCAAAGTGGCATTTCTGCCAAGGAGATGCTGTCTGCTCTGGGCTGCCCAGTGTGCACAGTGTAGGAAGCTTTGAGCTTCCCTGATGGAGGAGGGAGGGCAGCAGGGCTCCTCACATTCCTGTTTTTAGAAAGCTTTTCACAGCCCTCTGTCTGTCAATGACTCGGATGTTCCTCCTGCCAGCTAGATGTGCAGGACTGAGCCAGAATGTTCTCATTCATGAAGTAGGTTTAGAATTTCACCTCCTGAGGAACAGTTCTTCCTAGCTCCTTCTTCTGTTCAGCACTGTGGCCTCCCACTCTGTGAACTGGGGGTGGGAGGTTACATGTATGTGCGTTCACAAACCCTGCAACTCTTCTCCCACCACATGGGGTTGCCTGTGGGAGGAAAGGAACAGCAGGAGTGGCAGCTCCAAGTGTCTGTGGGAAGGGCACAGATGCATCTTTGGACCTGCAAACCTAGAACCTGATTGTAGGAGCTTTCTGTCCCTCCTGGGATGGAAATGGAGTGTGGAGGTCCTACAGTGAGTAGTGAGGTACTACAGTGTCCTGCATTCTGAGGTGGTGTGCTCCATCAAGTGCACTTGATGGCCATGTGCCTTTAACTGGTCTTTAAACAAGGAGAAATTTCTGTGATGCCATAAAACAGTAAGTAATGTTAGGTGCTCAGTAAAGAGAGAGCATGCACGTTTTTTATCTCAGTGGGTGTCACTGCAGCTTTTCAGTGTGCTATAGGTGGTAGGTTCCTTGGCATCAACAGGTTCAGCAACTGAATGAATGACTAAACACACCGTGGCTGTTGTTAAACTCCATGTTTACCAGAGCTACTGCATGGGGATCTGAAAAGACTGGTTACCCCCAAAGGGCTTGTCTGCTGCTGTGTTCTGATGTTTTGTAAATAACTTTGACACTGATCACTGTGGTGCTTGGCACTGGCCCTGGAAGTTACTGCTTTTAACAGTGAAGAGCAGAAGCAGCTAGGCAGAAGATAAAAGGTGCTACTCAAAATTAATACATCTAGAACAGATAGAATTGTGCAAAATTAATACATCTAGAACAGATAGAATTGTGTGGCAGTGGGAGAGTATCGTATTTTAGACAGCAGAAGTAAGCTCTAATTGCATGGCAAAGTATTTGTGTCACTGGGAATATGGGGTAGTATCTTTCTGCCTTCATCTTCCCCTACTGGGGCCTGAACCTCAAAGTGGAAGTGGAAGGTCTGTAGGCTTCAACTGGGGCCTGAACCTCAAAGTGGAAGTGGAAGGTCTGTAGGCTTCAGACCATCAGCACTCTGCGGTCTTCTCGGAAGAGTCCAGATGGAAAAAAGCAAGTGGCTCAGAGCTTCAGAGAAGGAGTGATAGCCAAGTGCCCTGTCTTTGTTTAGGAAGTTACATTCTTGGGGCATGAGAAGTTGGGTATGTCAGGAAAGGGCTTTCATATAAATCATCCTTCTGCTCACAGAATGAACTAGATTCAATGCATGACATATGGACTGAGGTAGCTTGATCGCCAGCAGCTAAAAAAAAAAAATTAAAATGGCAATAAAGCCAGCGTAGAATCTAAGGAACTAGAAGTTGGTAGCACTGCTTCTGATCTCCAAAGCAGAATTATTATTCCTGTGGGCCAGAGGCAGATGACAGGCCAGTTACTGTGACTTGGGTGCTCCAAGACAGTACATACAAATGGCAGTATTGTGCTAGGTGCTAACACACTGATGAAGAGATCAAAGATTGCTTGTATGGTGGCTTACAGACTTCAGCAGTGCTCTGATGCGTGGCAGCTGACAGGTAATGGCAGGCACCCAGGCTGAGCCTGGTGAGAGAATACCAGGCAGGCATGGCCTTTATTCTGCAGGCAGCATGGAGAGGGGTTGGTAGGACAGACTACGCCTTAGTGCAGTGCTTAACATGGGCAAAAGAGAAACATACAGGTAGGTACAGAGTGTCAGAATCTGCTGGCTGACAATATTAGATGCTAGACTGGGTCTCTGAGCATCAGAAGGGTACTTGCATCAACCATTATAGATGTCAGCACATGTGAAATAGCTTATGTTGTAAGAAACTGTGATTGTATTATAGACAGCAAAATTGAAAATAAGGCTGCAGATAGCCCTCACTCTCACCAAGGAAGCTGACACCAGAGATAAGGCAGTAATGGCAAGTTAAATTGAAGTGTGACTGTCAGAGCCTGCTTTGGTATGTCATGGTTGTCTCTGCAGGATGATGATCTTGATGCAAGGGCCTGTGGGTAAGGGGGGTGCATAGGATGGTGAGGCAGTCTATGTACAGGGAATTGAATTTATGATTTCAACACAGGTAGGCATTCCTGTGCCAGTTTTAGTCTGTGGGTAAGAATAGCAGTGAAGAGGTGGCAGGAGGGGTGTGAATACAGGCTAGCAACTGGAGTACAAGCCCCCAGGGATACTGGGTTATACGAATTATGCCTACGCACGTTAGATTTATGCTGTAACTGCTGTGCAAACATCAGCTTCTTAAAAAAAACAAACCCAAAACCAAACAAAGAGTCCCCTGAAAAAGCAGCAACCAAATCAGTATAGGAAGAGAAAAAAAAAAAACCAACCCATTTAAAAAAAAAAAAAGCCCAAGAACTTGAAGATTGGAACTGCAGGAGAAAGAATAGAAGGGTATGTGGAGACAGGGTCCCTGAGGAAACTGAGCAACTGTATGGGACAGAAACAACTTGGTAAAGCTTCTTCCCTCTAGGCTGTGGTTTCCAGAAGATGACAGACTCTGTCAATAGGAGAAAAACTAAGAGTAATGGGAGCTGCCTTTAAGAAATATTAAATCAACCAGTGTCACTGATTGCTGGCCATAAGGACGTAACTGGGGAACAAAGCACACAAACCCTTGAAACTGGTGGGAAAGATGGAGCAAAACCAAGGTGAGCAAAGAAAGCTGTACTGCTGTCAGCTTTCTGGGTATGAGACTGTTGATAAAATAACTGAGTTGAGTGAAGTCACAGGAAGAACAGTGCCGAAGCAAGGATGCAAAAGTTGCTGCAATTATCAGGAGGGTTTACAGACATTTCGGCAAGAGGTCAAGTCTTGTGTTATAGCATTTTAACCAGAATAAGGGAGTGTAGAGGCAAAGCTAAGGAAATAAAAACTAAATTTTGACCCGTGAAATCACATGTTGACCAGATTTTTATTGCAAAGAGTTGCTAAACAGAGCAATGAATGGCATAAGCTACTTGTCATTGAACTGAAGTTGTAAGAAAGTTTTCTCTGTCTCCTAATTCACTCTGGATCATCTTGATGTCATGGCACAAAATGATGGATAAATGATGGATAAATGATGGATAATGAATTGGTGCAGAAGGTAGAGTTATGGTGAATGTAGACTCAAGAAACTGTGTGTTGTGCTGATCCAGTGGTCATATGCAAGACTGCACATTCTCTTTCCCCTTGCTGTGTTGCTGTTTGCTTCAGTACATGAAAAAGCGTACCTGATACAATGCATACAAAGAAATTGTGTGGTTCAAATGTAGGACAGCAGAAAACTAGGTTTTACTGAAGATACAGCATTTCCAAGTTCATGTAGGGAAATGTTGAAAAACCACCTGTGACTGAGGGAAAAATACTAAGTTATTAATCAGTTCTGAAAAGAAAAAAATCTATTAAGAATCCCACCTAAATTACCATGTTAGAAAGTGAAGGAATAGAGAGATGAGTTGGTTCATGTGCCTTAGAATTGGCAAATGCTGTAAGGGAATATCCAGAAAGGAATTAAAAATTGGTAAGGCATCAGCTGTATTCACCCCATCCAGCGAGATGTGGCTGTTGAAGAGCTGCAGCTTAAAGGTCAGACTCAGATCCTGAACTTTCAAGTTCTGCCCAACCATGTGACTATGATACAAATATGATGGAGCTATAAGTAGGCATGTCCATGTCTGCCATGCTTTGGGAGGAAGACCAAAGTATTAAATAGAATTACATATTCTGGCTTTTTTTTTTTACATAATCAAAGTACAACTCTGACACTGACCAGAAAAGAATAGGAAAGTATCTGAGACTTGGGATGAAAAGGAAGCTGTGCTTACATTAGGAAGAAGCAAAGGAGTGGAACAATCTTGCAGTTTGTTCAAGTCTGAGTCCCTCCAATCAACAGGAGTGACAGTGCATAGGGCTGAGAGCCTTCAAGAACTGGGGGGATGATCTGTTACTGCACCCCTGCTCTGCAGAGAGGGATGGCACTTCTCCTCATTCCTTTGTATTTCCATGATTTTAGCCCTGGTGTTGCATTCCTCTCCAAGGCCTAACTACTTGACTCTTGCCAGTTCTCAATGTGCTCCTGAGCTTTCTGACCCTTGAGCAAGCTCTCACTTGTGGAAGACACTTTTCACTCTTTCCACCTAGTCCTCAGCTCATCTTAATGTGCAGGTTTATGGTTTTCTAGAAGGTTTCTGGCACTTTGGTTTGATCAGCTTAAAATTTAGTTTATACTGATACAGGTGTGATGTGGGCTTTGGCACTGCAGTCCCTGGATCCAGGATAAATTGTTAGAGCATACTGGATACTAGGCCAACCCAACTCTGACCTGTGTTGTGTGTTACACTGGTACAGAGGCTATTTCAAGGCATATTAAGCTACCAGATCAAAGATGCAGAAGGAGAAGATGTGCTGGAGCAAACACAGTGTTCTCTCAAACCTTTAGCTACTTGTCCCCAGGGACCTGTCCCAGCCTCAGGAGTGTGTGGAGGAGGGTGCTGAGTGGTCAGGTTGTCCCACAGTCTGAAGAATGGATTTCTCCTTGCTCCTTATTTCATAAATTGCAGTCTGCCTGAGGACCTGGACTGTCTAGCTTGGGTGCTGTCGACTGCATGTCGTGATGAATGACAATTAAGCACAGCACTGCCGGCGGTCAAGGGAGGGAATTGTCCTGCTCTGCTCCACACATGTGTGGCCTCTCCTTGAATACTGTGAGCAGTTTTGGGCAGCACCATAGAGAAAAGAGATTAAACCATTGGAGGGTATCCAAAGGAATGCCACAAGGATGGTGAAGGAAAGGAGGGGAGACTGCATGAGGAATGGCTGAGGTCTCTTTGGTCTGCTCAGCCTGGAGGAGACTGAGGGGAGACCTCATTGCAGTTGCAGTGCAATGTTAGGAGTGTAAAATTAGGAGTGCAGCCTAAGGGTGTGATGGTGTTTGTTTCTGGGGGGGTGAAGCATCTTAGCCATGTGTAGGCCTGAAAGGAAGGGCCTGAAAGGAAAGCATGCAGCTTCAGAGCCCAGCTGCACTGGGCATCTTTGGACACCTTACAAGATGTTGGTGCAGATTCTGGTACAAGATGTCAGTACAAGATTCCACTGCAGATGTGGAATTACAGTTTTCTAGTTTAGATATCTCTGTGGAAGAATGAATATTTTGCATCAGTTTAGGTCCTTGGCATCTCAAGGAGTTGACCTGTAGTCTTTTCTGACAAGTATCATTACCAAGTATTTTTCATTTCTGTCACCAAATGGGCAGGAGTTCATTTCATCAGGTAGTATCACTTCTCTTGAGAAGTGACTTGTCTTTCCAGTCTTCTCTTCAGGCTTTAATGACCTTATGCAGATCACCTCCCGCCTGCCCAGCTTCTTCTCCCCACAGCAGTGCTCTCAGCACTGCCAAGCACTGGCTTGCTCTCCCCTTTGTTGTCTCCTAAAGGATGACTGGAGCAGAGGGCTTGATTCTTGCTTGCCACCTCTTTCTGTCTTGCTGCATCTGCTTTCCCTGCTCTTTCTCAAGTGTTCTTGGTCACAGCTGAGCAAACCCTGCCAGGGGACATGTCATGCCGACACCTGGACCTCTTCATTGGCAGATTAGACTGTATGACAGCTCACAGCTCATTGCAGCTTGTAGGCACTTTCTGCTGTAAATCATTCTGTCTGTCACACCAATACAGCTTGCACAGCACCCGTGCTGGATGCTGTGGAGCTTGCATTAGCCTCTCTGCCCTTAAATAGCCTCTATGCCTGTTTTTCCTTCTCTTCTGCTGCTTATCTCTGGTTCCTTCGCATTAAAAAATATATTAAATAATCTCTTGGGTAAAAAGATGTGCCAGCGCCAAGAAATCCTTAACTTCTGTTTGTCATGATTAATCCTGTTCAGCCTGCTCCCACTGACTCTACCTGAGCAGGGCAGCTGGAGCAGGCAATCTCCAGAGATCCCTCCCAGCCTCAACTGTTCTGTGATTCTGTGATCCAGCAGTTCTATCTCACATGCTGCTTTACTCAAGTTTTCAGCCTGGTACTGACATAGATTTGTCACCCCAGGATGAGCAGCTGTGGCAGCTGGCTTGGCTAGGTGTGTGTGCATGTGTCTGCACGACTCTACTGCCTGGGCCAAAAGTCTGTACCACCCTTATCAGCAGATGAGGGTGGATGCTTTGAAAAGAGCAGGGCAACTGCATGTTATCCCTCACTTAATGTTCCTCCTTTCTCTGACACTTGGTGCTGTGAGAGCCTCCATGAGTTCCCCTTAATGTTTGTTGAATCCTGCCTTGTGACTGGCTGTTGTGGTTGCAAGAAGCTACACAGTGAGATTTTGGGTCCACTCCTTCAGTCTGTTTCTCTTTTGACATTGCTGGTCTTTATTCCTGCTGTGTTGGTGCCTCCTGCACAAGGGCAGAATGGGGTGGATACCTGGAGGCTCCTACAGTGTGCTGGGACTTCTCTGGATGGGCAGAGCAAGGAGAGTGCACACATGCTGGGACATGTGGTTGAGTTGAAGAAGAGTGGCAAATGGCTGCTGTGTGGACAGAGGTTGACTCTAAATGTTGTAAAATAGGTAACTTGTGAGTGTCCCAGGCCAGTGACACAGCAGGGGTGTACCTGCATTGCAGCCAACATCCATCTGCTCCCATGGCTTTTGGACTAACGTAACAGCTCCAGCTCGATGGACTTCCTATTTTAGGTTTAATTTTATTACCTCTTTGCTGCTTGTTCTTTGTACTTATTAGGAACTCCCTTTCTCCTTCCTATAAGTGACTTGCTGAAGGTTGCCCTGATCCTATTTTCACTTTTTTCTTTCATGATAGAAGAAGACTTTTGAACCTTTTTGAACCTTCCACTATTTCCCTTCCCCTCCAGTCTTTGTTTCCTCGTGTCTGTGCTAAGAAATGTTTGTGGCGTTGTTTTTTTTTCTTGTAGTTTAATCCATGGTCTTTGTGTGCTGTGTCCCAGCCCTGACCAGTGGCTGAGCTTGTCCAGAAGAAATCCAGCCTAGGCATATTATGGTCCTCTTTGTGCCATTTTCTTTTTGTACTGATAATCCACACAATAATTAATCAAAACTCAATTGAAAGCAAACCTTAATCTGCTGAAGACACTCCAGAAGAACGTGTCCATGGGATCACATCACTGTCATTTGCAAGCAGCTCCTGTTCTTCTGGTGCTTTGCCTCTCAGGTCTCTTCCCTTCCTGATCTACATCCCAGTAGCCTATTCTTCCTGTCAGGATTCATGTTTCTATCGTATATATTTTGCTTATTCTTTGCCTTTGCTCTTCCTAAGGGAGAATGTCTGCCTTCCTTGATTCATAGCCCTGTAGGTGATGGGACTGTAGCATGAGTCTGTCATAAGCTGTGTCATGAGGCCCTGTAGCTGGGTTGTAATGGGATCTCTGTCCCCCTCCAGCCTAGGAAGCTGTTTCCCCTGCTATGATGCCAGGGCAGATCCCCGACCCGTCGCTGACGGCTGGCGCGCTGCCTGGGCTCGGCCCCTTGACAGGACTGCCTGGCACAGCCCTGACCGCCGAGGAGCTGAAGTGCGCTGACATCCGCAACATCGGGGCCATGATCTCACCACTCCAGTTCCTGGAGGTGAAGCTTGGGAAGAGACCCCAGCCTGTCAAAAGTGAGGTGAGTATTGGGGGCTGCTGGCTGCAGGTGGCCCCGCAGAGCTGTTGTCTGCACTTGCCTGGGTCTCCCTCCCGCCCGTGCTTGGCTGTCGTAGCAGGGTGGCCAGCAGCATGTTTTATAAGCTCCCTGCTTGGTGATGTGCATGCATGTTGACAGCTGCTCCACTAGCTGCCTCTTCTCCCTGCCTGATTTTCTGTCCTTGGCTGGCAGTGGTAGCCTCAGTGTCCCAGACCTGACTGATCCAATGCAACAATTGGCAGCCATCTGAACTCAAACGCTGCATGTGGAGTGAGGTCTGGTGCAGCCAATCCCTAGGTTGGGGCACACACAGAGTAGAAGTCACACAACCTGTTACTCGTGTCAACAAGCCTTTGGTGCTTCTGGCATTGGTGTTGCCTCTCCAACGGGGAAGGGGTGTGTGGACAAGCAGTGTGGAGCAGTGACTCAGCCTGTGCCACAGGTGCTGCTGGCTGGGAGCCAGTGCTTGGGGTGGGCCCTGGCTTCACCCCGAATTTCCTGGGATGGGGAAGTTGGGTGGTTTCTGCTTGGTACCACAGGCTGCCATGTCAGAAGCAGGCTGAAGGGACTAGGGAGATGCTTGGACAGTGTTTTCCTTATGTGGCTGTCCCACGTGTTGGTTGTCCAGTCTTTGACTCCGTCTGAACTGGTGGTGAGTGTTTGCACCTCCTACTGCCTGCAGATGGAGCTGGGAACCCACTGTTACAGAGGTCCCACGTTGGGGAGGGTGCTGGCTGCTCTTAGAAGGTCCAATAGACAGCCCTCTGAACAGAGCATTTGCTCTGTGTGAGGTTACCTCAGATGATGCTGTATGAGGATGGGGTTGTGTTCTCTGTGTTGATGGACAGCCCCACTGGGAGAGCTGCCCTCCTCTTAGACAGGTGTAGACAGATGCTGCTAGTAGCCAGGCCCACCTGTGCAGAGCATCCTTGTTCTTTCCCCTCAGCCATTTGAGGTGGACTCCCGTGGGTAGAACTGGTATGATGTAGTCCATCTGATCACCTTGCACAGGAGCTCTGTGCCCAAGAGAGTGTCCAGTCGGCTTGTGCAGTCTGGAGGTTGCCTGGGAAGGACTGGGCAGCTCTGCAATGGGAAGAGCTGAGCATAGGATGCTGTGGGAGGCCATCACAAGGCTCCGGGGAATGCTAATGGCTTCCATTCCTCTATGGGCAAAGCAGTCACGGATTTGCAGCTGAAGCCAAATTCTGTTCCAAGCTCTTGGCCTGAGTATTAATGCAGCAAATGGTCTGCAGTACCTGCCCTGCTTCATGGGCTGGGGAAGAAGGAGGGTAACTCTGTGGCTATGCTATCTTCCCAGGTCCAGCTTCTTTCCTGGGGCATCTCAGGCACCTCTGAGCTGGCCCTGCAACCGCTGCTTTTGGTTTTTGTGGGCATGGATGATGTAACTGGCATCTGTGTAACAGGGACAGGGCAGTTCTGCCCCACAACAGGTACTGGAATTGCTGAGTGTCCTCTGAGCTAGCTGTTCTGGCACCATGTGGAGGAAAGATAAGAGAAAACCCACTGACAGCCCCTGCACAGCTTCCATGCAGCTGGTTCCTCCCCTGCATGGCCTGTGAAGCTGAGGAGTTGAAGACAGCAAATGGAGCTGCCCTTGGCAAGGCTTTGCAGCAAAAGCCTGAGGGAGCTGAAGCAGTAGCTGCTTATCCCATGAGTAGCCAAGAAACTGCCCACGCACAGTTTTGCAATGCAGCCTGCAGCTGCTTTCCTCGTGCAGGGCGCTGGAGCCCAGGAATGCTGGGTGCCGACATGCCACTCTGTGGTGCTGGGAGGACAGGCTGCTTGCCATGAGCCTGGGCAAAGCAGCTGTCTCTGCTCTGCTGGGGGCACCAGCATCTCCTGGCATTGGGGTGTTTGTGCCCGGGGGCACACACAAACCCACCCAGGGGTGTTTGGTGCCAGCTTCTCTGCAGGGTGATGGACAGCCCCACTGGGAAAGCTGCTCTTCTCTTGGACAGGTGTAGACAGATGCTGCTGGGTTCCTTCACCATTGAATCCCACCTGGGGTAGTCCCTCTGGGACTGAGCCCTGCCCCTCAGGCAGATGATCACCTTGGTCTCTGAGGCTGCTGATTGAAACAGTTCAGGAGGCATCCCCAGACCTTCTACCCACAGGGATCCCCTGGAGATCAGCTGCTGGGACATGCTATTGGGTGATACATCATCATTGTTTCATGTGCCTCTGAGTAACATCCTAACCCTCAACACCAGGGCCATGTCACCTTTTTGAACTGAAATCAAGCAAAAGCAGATGGGGAAAACTTGCTTTCTATAGAAGGAGAACTCTGCCCTGAGAATTTGTGGATTCCTCATACCTGGAAATGTTCAAGACCAGGCTGGATGGGGCTTTCAGCAACTGCTCTACTGGAAGGTGTCCCTGCCTGCGGCAGTGGGGTTGGAACTAGGTGATCTTTAATATCTCTCCAAATCTTTCTATATTTCTATGAAGCTACAGGAGCTGTGGTCAAAAAGCAGAGCCAAGAGCTCAAGCTGCTTCTGTCTGTGTTGAGCCACCTTCTTTGGGCATCTGTACTCCATCTAAAGGATACAGATCTTTGTTGGGCCCTCTGTGGGGTGGAGGCAGGTTCAGAGACAGGTCATTTATTCTGTAATTCTAGTTGAGTGGACTAGTGGGGCATGGAAATGTCAGGCAGCTCCCAGGGCTGGTGCAATTGCTGGTTGCTCTTCCACTTGCTGTTCCACCCCAAGATGTACTTTTGAAGCCAAGTTTGGGGGTGTTTTTTGAGCTTTGGAGTTGTGAGGACGTTACCTCTCTGCACCCTCCTAGTAATCCTTGAACTAAAAGGCCAAGAAGCTGTCTTGGGGTAGATGAGTAGCTGGTAAATGTGCAGAGGGGAATTGTATCTACCCTGATGTCCACCTCCTCTTAATTTCTATCAGGAAATTTTCTAAGACCTGGCAGTGAAATGTAGAGTGAATGCCTTCCAGATTACTTCTGCTAACCTGTCACATCTAAGTTATGTGGGTCAGTGTGAGCTGTCCATTTCTAACTGGACTTGGGGGTATTAGTGCAGCTCCCATCCTAGCTCTTCCAAGTGTGGTACGCTGGTGCCCCATGACACTGCCTTGGCAAAGGAATGGTGGCAGCCTGGCATTATGGAAGTCTGTGAATAACTTGTGCTGGCTTTGCTTAATATTTTAGCCCCAGCTAAACCAGCAACTTTGGTGTAATGCTTGCAAAATAAGGTAGAAAAGATGCAAAACTGTTAGTGCTATAAAGCTCAAACACTGCTTTCTCTAGCAGGCTGTGTGCTGTGTATTGGTCATGTGGCTTACTTAAGGCACCCCTTCACCCTACCTTTGTTGAGTCCACGTTTCATTCAGTCCCTGTACATCACACTGGGATATTTTGATTAGTGGGTTTTGGACTTGATGACTGTTAGCTGTGTGCACGGTCTACTGTGGATGATGGCACCTGCAGCCTTCATTACTATCAGGCACCACTGGTGTGTCTACATGTGGGGTGATCTTGTGGCCACCAGGTATCAGTCAATAGGAATGAGGCAGTTCAGTCTGACAACCTCAAATTTCAGAGACCCAGGCCAAATGTGAATGAAGGCACTGGGCACCTTTTCTTCTCTATCCATGCTACAGAGTATAACCTGGCTTCACATGGCTTTCCAGCACTCAGATTTTTCCTTGAAGGAGCTGGTTTGGATTCTTGGATGTAGGCATGCCATAGGTCATTTACACAGGCTTTGCAGCATATATCAATAAATACTTTGATTATGGGTTTCTAACCCATAGGGCCTATTGGCCTGGCCTGTGGTTTGAGTTAAAGAGCACAGAGAACTGAGTCATGGTGAACAGTGCAGGTACTGCTGTGTCCTGCCTCCTTACAGGGGATGCAGCATCTGTCCCCACCTTACTGTGGTGGCCCTGTGACTCAGACAGTCCCAGGTACTGGAAAGGGGCAGGCCCAGCTGTAGTATCTTTCAGGTTTTTCTGACTCTTGTTCTTGGCTTTGTGAGTGATGCTTTCAATGTCTGTGCTCACAAAGCTGAGCCTGTAGATGTCTGTGTGACAAACCACCTGTGTTCCTGGGCTCTGTTCTCTGTCTCTTCCCTCTCTCAGGGAGGGGCAGCCCTGTGAAGGGTTGTCTGTCCCCTACCAGCCATGTCCTCAGCTGTGGGTACAGGTCTCCGTCTCTGTGTTCCCACAGAGTGGAGGTAGAGCCTGTAGCAGCGGCACACGCACACATAGGATTAAGTCATGTTGCTGGTGGCCCATGACCACATGCTCACCCTTTCCTCCTGCCCCAGCCCACACCTGCTGGCTCTGACATGGGTTTCTCTGTCTTGTTGTAGCTGGATGAGGAAGAAGAGAGGAGGAAAAGGCGCCGGGAGAAAAACAAAGTAGCAGCAGCACGATGTCGGAACAAGAAGAAGGAGAGAACAGAGTTCCTGCAGCGGGTGGGTGCCCCAGTCTGTTCCAGGGCACAGCAGGGACCTCACTAGAACAGTGCTCCAGCTGCAGGCAACATTGCCTTCTGAACTGCCCCTCTGCCTCCCCTTGCTCCAGTGCCTTTATCTGGGAAAGTACAGCCCCTGCTTTTCATGAGGCTGTGGAGGTGGTGGCCATGTACATGCCCAGGCAGAGCTTACCCAGTACCAGGGCTGGAGAGGGCTGGAGGTTGGCTCTGGGCTTGCGGAGAAAGAGGAATGATATTGCCTCTGCCTCCGTGATGGAGCAGGAACACCCATATGAGTGTGGCACAGGACAGGGGCTGGCAGTGTGCTGGCCCCTTGACCAAAGTCCTAAAGATTTTCCCACTCAGAGGCCAGATGCCCACTCCACCTCTAACCCCAAGGCAGAAAAACTGTCCCAGCACCTTGCTGTTTTTCTGAAAACAGTGGTGAGACATGGGCAGATGACACAGCATGAGACAAGGAGTCACTTCACAAGGGCAGATCCTTAGAGATGGGCTGGGTGAAAACTTAAACATGGGTTTGTTCCCAAACACCTTACCAGACCACAGAAAGCAGCCAGGCAGGCAGTTTTTGCTGGGGTGCTGCAGAGACCTGCCCCAGGTGGTGGCTGTGTGTTTCTATGTGATGGCACTAAGTAGCACAAGGCGGCAGGGGCTGTGGGACAGCACTGAGCAGAGGTGGCATGTTGGCCAAAATGTTTCTTGTATCTTGTCCTGCTAGATAAAGTCACATGCGGTTGTGTTCCTGTCCTGCTAGGAGTCTGAGCGTCTAGAGCTCATGAATGCTGAGCTGAAGGCCCAGATAGAAGAGCTGAAACAGGAGAGGCAGCAGCTCATCCTGATGCTGAACCGGCACCGTCCCACCTGCATCGTGCGGACAGACAGCATCAAGACGCCTGAAAGCGAAGCCAACCCACTGCTGGAGCAGCTGGAGAAGAAGTGAAGGTGGCACAGGGCCAGGAGGAAGAGACAGTGGCAACAGGGTCTTCCAGGGTCTCTAATGTATGTACTGTATGAAGAACTGTGCACCCAGGCCTGGTGCATCCAGGACCCAATGGGCTTCCTTGGGAACTATGGACTAAACATGGGAACAGAGAAGATCAGGAGCCTGCCAACCATGTATTCTGAGGCTGAACCTGGGACCAGGGCTGGTGGTACCAGTGAGGGCAACCTCCCTGTGATACTCATCACAGCCCTTCACCCTGCTCTCAGCCCTGGGACCCACAAAGCCCCTGTGTGTCCTGCAAGGGGCACGCAGCCCATGGGTAGCAGGGGCTGCAGGCTGAGGAGTGGCAGCTGTGCAGTGCCCACCAGCACCCTGCCCAGAGGCTGCCGCTGCTCCTGGCACACGCTCCGGAGGGAAACCCAAACCCAAGAACCACAAACACTTGATGCAGCCCCATCTGGTGGGCAGGCCTGTCGGGGCTCGGTGGCGCAGGCGCCCCCCACAAGCACACTCAGTATAATGTTTACAGCCCAGCTGTCCGTGTCGGCCGTGCTTTTGAATGCACATTTTTACACTTTTTTAAAGTATTTTTTACAAAGTTTTTATACAGTGATCTCTATATGGATTTATATAATCACTAGATGTGATCCCATAGAAATGTATGTTATAATGGTCTGTTTGTTACAAACACATACGCCACAGTTATCTCCATTGTGTTACTTGTCTGGTAGCATCCAGCTCCTTTCCTGGCACGCTGGGAAAGGGGTCCAAGCTGCCCTCTGCAGTGATGTCGCTACCCTCTCCATCCATGTATGTCCTTCATAATACTCAGTTCTGTATCTCTCAGTAAATGTTACCTTTGTGTATGCTGTCCTCCTGTAGCTCTCTTTGGCTCAGCAGCACTGTGGCAGCATCTGCAGGGCTGAACAGGCCAGGTGTGTTCCTGGCTGAGTGGCACAGTGGAGCAGATCCCAGAGCTGGTTTTGGTGGTTGTGTCTGCAGCTGTGGGCAAGGAGAATTCACCCTAGGAAGCTGGGAACCTTGGAGGCAGCTCTGACTGCAAGCAAGAAGAAGCTCAATGCTGCACCAAAGAGGATAGGCAGGCATAGCTTGCCACTTGGAAAGGCAGAGGGAGACCATGTCATCCTTAACTGGTCCTTTGTGTTTCAGTCCCAAATACAGCAGTTTGAACTCATTTCGGGGATGAGAAAGAGATAAGGGGGCTATCACAATGTCCTTGTCGTGGTGATCCCTTTATGTGCCTTTGTGCTTCCTTCTGCCCAGACTGGGGAGTTCATGGCTCAGATCTGACCCATTCCTCCGCTGCTGTCAAGAGAAACATTCATTCTTTGAAAAACGTGATACCTCTGCCTTTCATCAAACTCTGCTGAAAAGTTGCACAGTATGTCCTGGGCCTCCTTATATTTTCTCTTTATTTCCTTCTGCAAAGTGTATGTGGTAATAAATTCCCTCTTTGGTGGTCTGTGGGAGCTCCCTGTGGATACCAGATGATCCAGGCATCTTGTCCACAGGCATCGTGTACTTTTTTGCTCACCTGGTGACCTCTCACTCCCCTGCTACACAGCTTTCAGCAGCACCAGCAGTGCTGTGGGTGCAGGCGATGGCCTTCTTTGGCAGACAACCACATTGCAGTAAAAACTTCTTCTGTGGAAACAGCTGGCTTGGAAGATAAATAAAAGGTGCCCTTTGAAACCCAGCATGCTCGAAGCAGCTAGCAAAGGTAGAAGCAGAAGAGTGATATATCTACATCAGTTTAATGCTCAGCTATTCCAGCCAAGGATTGGAGCTGAATCCTAGCTGCCCAGGGGTTGGAATGAGATTATCTTTAGGGTCCTTCCTAACCCAAGCCACTCCCTGATTCTGTCACCCAAACAGCCTTCTACTGTATTCCAGTCAGCACCAAGGCATTTGACACTCAAAGTTTAGGGCATTTCTTTTTCAGGTGACTTGTTTGGGCTGTAACACAATAAAGTTAAAGCAGAGGGTTTGGGCCCTTTTCCCCTTTATGTCGCAAGTTCTGACTGTTGAATGGAAAAGGTTCCATCTCTGTGCAGTGCTGTACTGCAAACCCCACCTGATTCCTGTAGGGGACAGGCTATTTGATGTTCTTGACTCTGGTAGCATCTGTCCTCTCAAATTCTCAGAATTAAAAATTTTGCTTTGGGACAGATGGTCCACTGGCCGGGCTTGTGCATTACAGTGACAGCTCCTGGGCAGGAGCAGAGGGCACGTGCCAGGCACAGCCTTCTGTTGCCAGTGCAAGAACATGCTCCCAAACTTAAAATGCAATGGTTCTACCTGTGCTGTGGCAGTATCCTTGCACTGGAATCCACTTCATGCACGGATTGGCAATGTGGATTTGCTCGGAAGAGTCAACTGGCACTTCTCAAAGGGCTAGGAAGCCACCTCCTGGCCATCCCACACCACCCCATCCTGTGTTAGGTGCACCGTGGACCACTACTGGAGCAGAGATGAAGGGATTTCGTACTTCTGGGACAGGGCTTGGTGCGGTGGTGCTGGAGCCGGTAGCCTGGTAGTTGTGGGGCTGTTGCCAGCCCCATGTCCCCGGTCCAGACAACCTTCGGGCTGCATCCCTCCTCCTGGGCACACGCACACATGGATCCCTCCCGTGGATAGCTGTAGCTGGTTGTAGAGCCGCAGTTGCTGGCCCTGGGCGCAGGAGCCCTGAGTACGGCAGTCGCCACTGGCACACAGCTCTGGTCTCGCTCGCTACTGCTCCGGCCTGAGGCTCCCCGCGCTCACCCCGACCCGCACACGAGGTGTCCGGAGCCAGGCGCGCAGGAGCCGGGCGGGATGCGGCAGTGCGCGGGCACCGGGCACCGGGCAGGAGCGGCCTGTCCCTCT